TGTGGGGAGAAACCTGGACTGCGAAAGAGTGCTGAGAGTTCAGCCAGGTCTTACACTGGTGATGGCCATCATCCCAGATTTTGTAAAAAACCTTGTACAGGTTAGTACCCACTGCACTTAAACCTCTTGAAGTCACCCAAACTCTTGTCCTGGCAATGAGCCCCTGATACACAACACCTAGTTGCTGTGAGGAACAGAAGTGAAAACCTCTTGCAGTTTTCTCTTCCAGATACTTGTCTCCAGTGTGTGACTTTTTTATTCTTCGTGGGCTAAACTTTGTCTGTCCACAGTGCGAGACTTTCTTAGTTACTTTAAGGTCTGTTCTAAGCAGGCTGACTCAGTTCTGTAGCTGGTTGGCAAATCTGAAGAGTGCAGCTGTCCTGCCTTGCAGACCCAGGAAAGTAGCTTCTGTGCTTACAGCTCAGTTTGTATCTCTGGGAGACCTTCTTCTGAAATGTATAAACTGGGAATTTGGAAGTCAGAGGAGGGAACTCGTTTCTTCTAACAGCTTCCACAGGGTTTCACAGAATAGTTTGGGTTGAAAGGGACCTTTAAAGGTTTTCTAGTCCAACCACCCTGCAGTGAGTAGGGATACCTTTCACTAGATCAGGTTGTTCAGAGCACCGTCCAACCTGACCTGTTTCCAGGGATTGGGACATCTACAAACTCTCTGGGCAACCTGTGCCAGTGTTTCACCACCCTCATTGTGAAAAATTTCTTCCTTGTATCTAGACTAGATCTACCCTCTTTCAGTTTAAAACTGTTACCCCTTGTCCTGTCACGACAGGCCCTGCTAAAAAGTCTGTCCCTATGTCATGTCCTCATTCTTCCTAGGGAAAGTGTCCCATTCTGTCCTCTTGCAGATGGTTTCTCAGAAATCTGAAGTCAATTGCAGTCTCAAACTGCAGAGAATAAAGCAGTTTCCCACTGTCTTCCTTGCTTAATACTGTATAACTGTAGACTAAAAATGCTTTATTTATATTGAAATGGGGAGTGTTGTGTGTTGAGAGTGGGCTGTGATCTCCTGACCTCTTCCATGTAGTAAAAATAGTTCTCATAGAGCTTTATGAGTTGTCTTCTGCATTTTGCCTTGACCTGCTTATATATAACTGACTCTCCATTGAATTCTTAGTCTAGATTTCCACAGCCATGGTAACTGCCACAAGGAGACATGCACAAAATAATTCTCACTACTATGTCTGTCGAGCCTTTTGTGTGTGCCTGCTCTGTCTGAACTGATCACGAGAGGCTGAATGTCTGGTTGTGGGGTTGGTTTGTTTTTTTTTGTTTTGGTTTTGTTTGGTTTTTTTTTTTTGAAGGACTTTATTCATCCCACCCCAACTTAGCCCTTTACTACTGGTGCTTGGCTTGTGTATCAGGATGAACAAACAATGTCTGAACACTAATCCAAGGGCAAACTGCATATGCCATTGGTATGGGCATAGCCGTCGCTCTCTTCATGCCCTTTGCTTCAGGAAGGTCTGGGTGTGAGTTACTCTGCGCAACAGGTCTCGGGTATATTATCTCCATGTTGCAGATAGTTCCCCTGAATGGCATAAAGGTTACATGACTTGCCCGGAGGAAAGGGGATGGGGTGTCAGGGTTGCAGCTGGAGTTCCTGTTTCTCAAGACCTTGCCGCAGGGTGTTTGACAGACACGTTTGTGAGTTAGCAGCATTGCCATGGGAACCGTCACTCTGAATTTTTTGACTTTCAGAGACTAAATTCTCTGTCTTAATGTTACATTAATGTGGTTTAGGGAGAAGGAAGGAACCAGGTGCCGGGGTATTCGTGTGACGGGAATAGCAAATGAATAAATGTCTTTATTTGAATGTGCAAGCTAAGGGTTGGGCATTCCGATGTCTGGAGGAAACACATTCTTTACCCAGTGACTGGGGGGAAAAAGTAGGAGGCAAGATCAGGGAGGGTTTCCACAGCTGGAGACTTGCTGCTGGGGGAGTCATTGGACTGTGCAGGCTTTGGTTCATGCATTCCAGTCAATTTTCACATGCTCTGGGGATGAGAGTCCTTTGTACCCTCTGGAGCTTGTAAAATCTGAAATAGATGCCCAGGGGTGCCCAGGAGACAGTCTTGGAAGAAGCTTGGTGGGCTCTGTCTGGGTAACAGGAGGCTGGGGGCAGTTCCTCTCTAAACGTGTGCCCTAGGTGGCATCAGCATAGGCTGATAAAATTATGCTCATCCTACTGTCACCCATTCCAGATTTTTGTGTGGTTTTAAAGGCTGTTGCTGTGCAGTGGGGAGAGAAAGGGCAAGTGTAGTCCTAGCATGTGCAAAGTTGGATCGGAGTGTGTAGTCAGGAGAACGTTGTTTGGTTAAGACTGCTTGCAGCTGGGCTGGCTCCAGTGAAGACAGCTGATTTCTAGGGAGTCCTGCATGGGAACAGCATAATTTTGGGTAGGATCAGGGTGGAGGGGAGCATTGTTCTGGGGGACCAGGGTGCCCTTTAGGCTGCAAAGAAACAAGTTTTGGCATGAACAAAATGAAGCAGTGAGTCCTCAGTCTCCTGTCTTTGCCCAAGCATGTCTTCCCCAGGTAACTTGCTGTCCTGCTACTCGCTCCTGACTCTGCTCTTTCTGAGGACCCTGCTTGGAGGAGGGAGTGAGGGTGTGGGCTGGCTGGAAACCTCCCTGGGAGTGGGAGGGAACTGGCAGCAGATTGCTTGCGGAGTGGGTTGGGTTTGAGAGATCAGGCGGGGTTGTGTGGGGAGGCGACCTTGTGTTTTCTGTTGAAAGGGGGTTTGCAAGTGAGAGAGGAAAGGATGAATGTCTTATAAAAGTAGCAGCCCCCCATCTATTGTAGGACAGCTGAGAAGCTGAAATAAAACGGAGAGAGGAAGTGTGATGTGGTATCACAGGTCATGACTGTAATCCTGCTTCTGGACTGACTTGCTCTGGGCACGCATTCACGTCACTTCTGTTTCTCTTTTTCAAACTGTATGGTGAGATCTTTTTCCTGTGTCCCAGGCATGCTGCAAGAGTTAGTGAATGATTGTCAAGCTTCTAAAAGTGGAAAGTAATGATGTTAAACAATGTTTCTTTGGTGTGTACAGGAGAACTTTTTTCTAACTAATTTACTCCACTTTTGCTGTCTGTTACCTAGTATCCTGTGGCTGTTGATACATGAGGCCAGGCTGTAATAATACAAAAAAATTGGAGATAGCTTGGGGATATGTAATAGTAACTGAAGATGAAACAAAGAAATGCGATGTAGGTACTGTTGTTCTTCACCATCATCCAAGGTTTAATTCAGGATCTTTTAGTTAGGGTTATAAGTGAAAGACAGCTACAGTGTTTTGAGGTAGCTTGACAACTTGACCCATTGTGTTGGTGCTTCATACTCCTCATGGATTTGAATCTCACTGACATTAAGTGGGCTACAATGACCACATGTACCTGAGAAATTATATTTCAAGGATGAAACACAAACATCTATTGTTCAGCATTTTAATAATTTGGTGTCCTGCTTACAGTTATTTTTCCTCGATAATATTGCTGTGTTAAGGCACAGTTAAGGTATGTTTTGCATGCATATAATGGATACTAGTGAGATGCCCAGTTTGGTTTTGTAACCCCTCTCCTTGCCTCCAGTAAGGACGTGTAGCATCCCCCACTGACTGCAGTCTCCCTAAACTCAAGTCTGTAATTCTGGCCTTCCCCAAATCACTAGGGCTGTGCCTAGACATAGATTTGCAGAATGTCTCCTGTTGTTCTGAGTGGGGTTGGTGGCTGTGCACAAAGCTGCTGTCCACCATGCAAATGGAGGTATGTGGTCCAGCCTACCTTAAGGAGTGTGGAGTTCATGCAAGATTTTGGAGACAAGATCCTGATTTATTTCTAAAAGGCTGATTCGTCTGTTCAGTAGGTTTCTCTGGTTCCTGCCCTGCCTTCCCCTACTCTGAGGGGCACCCCCACGTTCCAGACAGGGAACCCACAGTTACAGGCTTTAAAGCTGTAGCATGGATAAATCAAAGGCTGGCAAATGGCAGGATTGAGGTTACCTTCATCACCTGTGCTTTTGGGCCCTGGATATGCATTCTGACTCCCATTTCCACAGGCCTCCTGTCTCAGGATGTAGGTCTTTATCAAATATTGTTTAGTCTTATTTATTTGGTATGCATGGTGTGTAATCGCAGCCCTCAGAGTACTCGTATCCCAACCTTAGGCTAAATGCAAAACTGTGGGTTTCTTTTTCCCTTCCCCCTTCATAGCATCTAAGCATCTCCCAGGCAGTCATGTAGTTATCTTTGGCAGCAGCCTGATAAGATTAGGAAGTATTAGCCCCTTAAAGTTGGCAACTTGAGGCAGAAAGTTAGTGAGGTCAAAAAAATGCTGTTACTTCTGCATGCTCTAAGAAAGACACTTCAGGGATGTGCACGTCTGCTTTCTCCTCTACTCCTTTCTTGAAACGTGTCATTTTTATGGCATTTGATATGCTTTGAACCAAAGGCTCTCTGCTCTCAGTTATGGAGTGATGACGCCTTCCTTTTCTGCAACCACAGTGCTTTTTTTGCCCTAATATTTTTAATTGTTCAAGCCTCCTAGTTGTCAAAACCACTAAGAGATTAGGAGAGTCATGCAGGAGAAGAAAAGCCCATTGTGACCCACAGCTTGTGTTGGTACATCTGAACATATAGATCTGTGACCTGCTACAGCTACTCCTTCGTCAGGGCTCAGTTCAGTTAGCAGAGTAAGAGATAACTCCTAATAATCTACTGGCCTTTGAATGGGGCAGGTGGTAGCACATAACTGATACTGAGAATTAACCCACAGACCAATACATAATCTGCAGCATCTTCTAGGATGTGTCACCAAATACAGCAAAACATGCTGTAGTATAGATGAATCTAATAGACAAATCTCTTCAGCTTTTCCTCTACTCCTGTGCCCTCCCTCAAGCCTTTTTTCCCCTCTGTTATCCATGTAAGCTGTTGTTTTCCTCAAGATGTAAAGTACTTTCTTCATAGTGTTTAGTTTATTTTATCTGGCAGGGGAACAGGGGCAAGAGCTGCTTGGCAAAATTTATAGATGAATTTGTAAGCATATTGGGAGGAGTTTCACAAGTTAACCAGTCAACATTTTCAGTTGCTGAGATTCTGTGTCAGCTCCATCTTGAGCTAACTTGCAACTTAAAATGGCTTGACTGTTACAGAGAGCAAGTTCAATATGGAATGTTTTTGTTTGGGAAACAATTCCCTGCCCTAAATAAGCATCTAAAAGCTGGCCCTTACAATGGCATATTAAGGGCAACCCTTGCTCTGAGTAGAGTTGATAATGATGCCAGTTACACAGTCGTTCCCCATCTGGAGGGGAACCTTTTGTTCAAAATACACATCTGTATTCATGCCTCTTTCCTCCACAGCTTGAAAAATGCCACCAATCTGGAAAGATCTTTGCACAGTATTACGTTAGTCTTCTCTAAATTATCAACAAAGTCGTTTACTGCAAGAGGGGGTCACTAGTTCCTCATTTCTGCCCTGTGTAAAGAGTATCAGCAGGTTAATTAGAAGATGTGTTTGAAAGGGTTGTATTGGGTTTACCTCTGTTAGCTTTGTCTTTCTGTGACTACCTCCATCATGACTAATGCCCAGGGTGAAGTGGGTGGAGAAGGTGCCCTTCCTCTAGGACTGAGAAGAGCAAAGTAGACAGTGTCGCTGTAGCACTTCTTGAGCTGTTGAATTCTTGTGTAAATTAAGGCTTGTCCAAGTGAGGAGGTAGTCAGCGTAATCATTCATTTATGCAATGGGTTGGGCTGTATGGGGAGAGGAATGCTTTAACTCTTACAATATGAACATCCCTGCAGGAATTTGTACTGGAATGTCTTCTACAAGTTTGTCTAACAAAAAAGAGAGAGGTGGTGTTTCTTTTGTTCCATGTTCACCTCCAAAGCTGTGTGATTTCCAAAGCGGTTTTGGTTGCTGCTCACTCCTTGCCCCTTTGTAACTTCCTCCCACAGAACAAAGTCGCCGTGATGACCTGGAGAGCCTGGGCTACGTGCTCATGTATTTCAACCTGGGCTCACTGCCCTGGCAGGGCCTCAAGGCTGCCACCAAGCGCCAAAAGTACGAGAGGATCAGCGAGAAAAAGATGTCAACGCCCATTGAGGTGCTCTGCAAAGGGTACCCTTGTAAGTGCTCTGATCTGGATGGCTGTCTTGTCTAGTGCATGGCTTGCTCTCACCCCATGGAGTTTTGAGTCCCTAAGGGCAATGCCCAGTACCCCCAGACCAGGAGGTGCTGCTGACACCAATGATGAGAAGGGTAAGAGACTGGTAGTGGTGCAGTTCTGGTTCAGAAGTGGAAAACGTGTTTTTATGAAGAGTTGAGCCTTGTGTTAGTAGGGGTGTGAAGGTGCTGAGAGAGATCTTTAGGACCTCAGAAATGGTCTGGAACAGGGGTGGGCAGCGAGGTGAGAAGTTGTGCTGATGATCCTGAGTTATTCTGGGTAATGAGGATGAGGGCCAGCTGTGATGAATCCCAGAAATAACCAGGCAATGAAGTGGTAAATGCAGGTCTTTGTAGGTAAATGTGGAGTAATGTATGTGAGGGGAGAGCAGAAGGCTTGGTCCTCGTGTCACATGCAGAACAGTAGGCTTTGAGCTGACCAGTGCCACTCACCAGTGAGCTGTTGCAGATAGAATAGACAGTTCTGTGAAAGCATCAACTTTGTGCTTAGTGGCTACTGAGGAAAACGGATCAGGTGTTAGGAGTTACTAGGAAAGAAAAGAAGCCTGAACAGTGTGCATAAAACCATGGCCCGCTCGCATCTTGCATGCACTGTGCAGCTCTGGTCCATCCTACTAGTTCAGAAAGGATGTGGTAGAACCGGAAGAAGGTCCAGGAAGGGGTCAAAAGGGTGATCAGAGGTGAGGTGATTTCTATACAAGCAATGAGTTTGCTGGAACCTGGAAAAGAGGTGATTAGAGAGCTGATAGAAGTCTACACTCTTGTTACACCTCCAGAAGTTTGGATGGGAGCTGATTATTTGGTGGCCCCAGTTCTTGTATTGGAAGAGAAACAAAGCTGGTTCCTGCCAGCTTCAAAACGATGTGGTTCTTCACACAGCTAGTAGTAGATGTGTAGAAGTCCTTCCCAGAAGATGATGTGGATTCTTAAAGCTTACAGGAGTTCAAGGAGAAAATGGACAACTACACAGAAGAGAGATCCATTGAGGGTTACTAAATAATTAGAAACTACATCTAGATCAGGAAGTTGCCTGAGCTGAAAGTAGGAGGAAGATGGGCTAATCTCAGTGGAAGTGTCAGACATGGTTGCCCTGGTCTTTCTCCTCTAAAGCTGTCTACTTCTGGCCATTGCTTAAGACAGGCTACTGAACTGGGAGGGCCTCTGGTCTAAGCTGGGCTTCCCAAAGCTCACCTCCACCTATTCTTTAGGCCTGCTTTCTTACTCTCTTTCAGCAGGCTCTGAGACTTACTACCTCTTGCTTGGAGAGGCAGCCAGGAAAGAGATATGTAAGGATTTCCTCTGGTAAAATAGGGATGGCTTCTTCTTGGTGGCCAAAAGCACTGCAACCAGCAGACTCTGTTTTCGTTACGCAGTGCTCTGTGTGTGCTGTCCTGGTGCAGCGCACTGCTGTTAAAAGGCTGCAGTGGCTCCGTGATGGGACCAGGGGGGTTGGATGGTGTTCAACAACCAACTGTTCTCTGCTCCCTCCAGCTGAGTTCTCGACATACCTCAACTTCTGCCGCTCACTGAGGTTTGATGATAAACCAGACTACTCGTACCTGCGGCAGCTCTTCCGTAACCTCTTCCACCGCCAAGGCTTCTCCTACGACTATGTTTTTGACTGGAACATGCTTAAATTTGTGAGTATGTGTGGGGAAAGGGCTGAATGGGCAGGGGTTGATTGGTGGCGTGGAGATGGGGGAGGAAAGTCAGAAACTGCCTGTCATTTGCACTTAATCCCTGGTGAGCAACTTGAGAAGGGGAACCAGGTAGAGTGAAAAGAGGCAGAGTTGTTTGGTGGTGCTATAGCAGTTTGGGGTGGGTATAGCTACTGTTGTGTTAGTGAGTGGGTCTGATGGAGTATGTGTGTCAACAGAACTATAGGTAGGAAGAGATAATTTTTTAGTAGAGAACTATATTTGGAGGCAGGACACAGATCTGGATTGCAACAACAGCTGTAGCACTGTATGCTTTCTTCCCTGTTTCTTCATGGAAGAGAATGAGGCCCTCTCTGGATGGACTGGAAGATGGTGGGAGGAGAATGTGTTTTGTGGATGGAGCTCTGCTTTCTTGGCATGATGGAGCTCTGCTTTCTTGGCATGATGGAGCACTGTGTGTTTTCTGTCTGGGGCTGCTGCTGTCTCCTCTTGCCTGACAGCTGTGTGTGGTGTGGGGGTTTCTTCCCTCCTCAGGGAGCAGCTCGGAACCCTGAGGATATGGATCGAGAGCGGCGAGAGCATGAGCGAGAAGAGAGGATGGGGCAACTCCGGGGATCAGCCACGCGAGCACTGCCACCCGGCCCACCTGCTGGAGCCAATGCCAACCGTCTTTGCAATGTCACCGAGCCCATGGCCTCCACCCCCACTTCCCGAATCCAACAGTCCGGTGAGTGGGGTGGGAGAGCTGGAGGAGGGTGCCACCCCTGTTGTTGACTGGAAGCTGAAACAATTGACTGATGTTCTTGTCCCATGTTTCTCTGCACCGACAGGAAACACGTCCCCCAGAGCAATCTCAAGAGTGGACAGGGAGAGGAAGGTCAGCATGAGGTTACACCGAGGAGCTCCTGCCAACGTCTCCTCATCTGACCTCACAGGACGGCAAGAAGTGTCACGGATTTCAGCATCACAGGTGAGTACCTGTTGCCATGTTTGTGGCCTTGGCCTGCATGTCCCAGAAGGATTAAGGGCCCCACAGCAGTTTTTACCTGATCTGCTGGAGCTGACATGCACCTGAAGCTTCTGCAGTGTGGTGAGGGGAGTGGTACCAGGTTATGGCTTGGCTCTTCAGTTACATGTATTCTGGAGGCCATGCTCAGGACTGTCTTCTTAGCACTGCCTTGGTTGGAGTAAGCCTTCATCTGGTTGTCTTCCAGACCACAGTGGTTTGGAAGTGGAACGGTAAACTCCTGAGAGGGAGGATGTCCTGAGAGAAACATGAGCCACGCTATTCTGGTGTCCTTCATGCCTTTTTCTTCCTTGCCATCCCTTACCTGTTCTTCTCTTTTTTTTTTTTTTTTTTTTTCTTTTAGACAAGTGGGCCATTTGATCACCTTGGGAAGTGAGGAGCAATTGCCACTGGACCAGTGTTTGCTTAGGTGAGCCTGTCCTCGGGCCTGGGATCCCCCAAGGAGGGAATTGCTGGCATTATAGATTAGATCAAGGCTTTGATGTTGCTGATGGGGATTGGTACATTTCCTTTCCCTTTGCCTTACCTTGAGATGGTTTTTGGCTTCAGAGAGAAGAGTAGGGCTGACTGCCAAAACCTTGGGGGGATGGATTATATTGGGTGTGAAGGTAGCTTCCATTTCTCCAGGAGGATAGGGAGGGTGGAGAAGGTGCTGGGCCAGGGAGCCATTTTGTTAGTTCCTAATGAACGCTTTTCTGGCAGCGTGATTGTGTTGGGGAGGAGGGTGCTGAGCGCATAATAAAGTGTGTGAGACTTTGCACAGCCAGCAAGTGCCTCTTCTAGAGGAAATGACAGTAGCTGGACAAGGTGACTCCAAGGAGTGGCAGGAGTGTAGAAGAAAGGGCTGATTTGATTTGTTACACTCCAGTTGTCATTGGAAGTACTGGGAAGAGCCTTTTCTCCTAATGTCCTCTTCCCTTTTTCTCTTTTTTTTTCCCCCCTCTTTCTAGTGTCTTCACTGTATTTTTCTTTTAAAAAACAAAAAACCCAAAAAAACAAACAAAAAACTAAAAAAGACAAAAAACAAACAAACAAAAAAAACAACCCCCGACAGAAATTCTTTTTGCCAACGATGAGGAGTCGAGCTGTGCCCCTGCGCTGGCGTGAGCCATTTCCGAGAGGGCCGCCTGCGTCCCCCAGTGCAAGCGCCTCCAAGGAGCTGACGACGTGGGAGCCGTGTGGGAACACCTCTGCTACCCCTCCAGCCCTAATGCTGCCCCCACTGGGTACCCTCAGCCCCCTCTCCTGACTCTCTGCTCCTGGTTTTGGTTCCTCTCTCTCTTTTTTTTTTTTTCCTTTCTTTTTTTCCTCCTCTTCTTTTTGGATATCTTCTGCTTTTTTTTCCCCCAATTTTCAAATCATATGATTTTTTTTAACTTTGCTGTCCTTGTTTTTCTGAGGGCAGGGGATGGGGTGGTGGTGGTTTTTTTGTTAGTTTGTTTTGTTTTTTGTGTCCTTTTTTTTTCCAGGAGCCTTGTGGGCCAGGAGGGAATCAGATTCCAGCCATACTTGATGGTAGAAGTCTGATTTTTATTATAACAGAATTTCTTTTCTCAAGATTAGATGAATTTTAAGCTGTGAGGGGAATTGCGGCAACAGCCTAATCATTGACTTGGGCTTCCTTTCCTTGGGTGGCTTCTCTGCATTGTTTTTTTGGCTGTCGGGAGAAGTGCCAGATTTCCCTGATCCAAGCGGTCCTCATGCACCAGTGGATCTCTGTGGAAAGGCACCTGGTCCCATGGAGGATGGGAAGGCTGGAGCTGAAATACAGGGAGATGAGAACCCACTTCCCATCCCTGTAGCGGGGTCTTGTTTTTGTCTGGCTGTGCGTGTTTTTCTATTTTTTTTTTAATTAAAACTTGTTTTAATTCCTGCGGAGAGAGTGTGGGACTTGAGGAGAAGAGAGGGGCGCACAGAAACTGGAGTTTGGTGTTCTTTTGGAGCGATGGCTCTTCCTCTCTCCTTCCCTCATGCGACCCCAAGTAAGATCCACCGTACATGCACAACCCGTTCCTGCCCTCTCCCCCCCGTTTCCCCCCCCTCCCTTTTTAGTTGTTTTTAAATATAATTTAGGAATACTCAAGCTGCTTTGTGGCACTTGGGGCTTTGAAACACAATGATCACCACTGCGACCTATGGCCTGTAGCAGACACACTGTCACTGTAGTGTGGAGCCGATGGGTTGTTGGCAGGGCGGGGAGGGTGGGGTTAGTCTTTGTTTTGTTTGTTTTTATCCTTTCTATTTAACACTTTATTTTTCCTCCCTATTTTTTTCCTAATTTATTTACCCCTCTTACTGTCTCTCTCTTTTTTTTAATTAAAGAGCAAAACTTTTTATTACTTTGTAATTTAAAAAAACAAAAAAAAACCTGAAGAACTTTGGGGGGGGATTTTGTACTTTTTTCCTGTGTAAATATTGGACTTTTTTGAGCTTTATCGTGGTTGTTAATTTGAAGTAATAAAGTAGAAAATGATAAAGTGACGCCAGCATCTGTCATTTCTTCCTTCCCTGGCATCCTTGCTGGGAGAGACATCTTACACGCAGGAAGTGCTGTCTTGTGTCTGAACCTGTTCCTGAGTTCCAGGAATGAGTTTGATCAGAATTACTGGAAAAAAGGCACAGGGCTGGAGCGCCTAAAAATAAATCTGAGCTGATCTCTGCAGTTGCAGCCTTGGAACAGTGAAAGCTATGTGAAATCCGATTCAGGATCTCTTGGTTCCTGGGATTGAGCCTCTGGCATCCCATGCGTCTGGCCTTCAGGAGGAGAGGGATGGGACCTTTCCATGCTGTTGGCTTTGGGTGTGCTCTGAGTTTGACAGAGGTGGACCCTGGGTTTTGTGTTTTCTTGCTTGCTTCTATCCTCGAACTTAAATCATGGAGAAAGGGGAAGGAGAGGGGTCAGGACAGCAGCCTGAGCCCCTGACAACAACGCTGTGCCTGATGCAAACGTGCTGAACTCCCTGTAAAGGGACACCTGCTGCTTTGGTGTCTGCGGTGGTGGGGCTTCTTTGGCTTTCTCCCCCTTTGGTTGCCTGACCTGTCTGGCAGTAAATTACTAAATTTTAATACTGTTCCTATAGTTACACCTCCCTGCATTATCCAGACCAGAGGCCTGTTTCTTGCAGGCTGTGTAAAAACTCTTGAAATTTGATTTTTCAGAAATACCTGCTGGGACTAAACGATAGATCTTGGTGAATTCCAAGCTGCTCCTCTGTTTGCCTGCTGCGGGGGGCTTCCAGCTCCTCAGCTGAGAGAAGAGGAGGGTAGTTCAGGGGTATGAGGGTGTTGCCCTCTTGCCTCTGTCCTGCATTGGTCCTGCTTCCATTTTGAGTGTGTTTTAGAGGGATCAGAACGAAACTGGACTTTTTCCCTTCTACATTTTCTATGTGAAAGAGGAACATTGACTATGTGGAAGACAACATGTCCCTCGCCATGGTGCCTTTGCTCCACCGAGCGCGTGGCCTCGCCGCAGCGTGGAGGCAGCAGGGCCTTCATCTGGCTGGCTTCAGGAGTGGTTGCTGTGTTTCAGATAGGAGCTCTATTTTAAGACAGGAGGGGAGTGCACCGCTATTTTGGGGAGATAAAGGGAAGCAGCTCCGTGGGTGCACCTCTGTTTCAAAAGAAGAGGGCAAGTGCCCCTCTAAAGAAGCAGCAGAAAGTCATCAGGCATGTCTCAGCCGCTGTGGTGCCTCGGCTAGCAAGCTTTGCGTGTGTATTAAAGGGTTGTAGGGCTTGGCTTTAGGCTTCCTCAGTTTTGTTTTGGGTTTTTTGGTAACTGAACATCCCTTGTTCTGGCCTGAGTTGAGGTACGGTTTTGGTTTCCAACACAGCCACGTATGTTTTTTTCCTCGGACTTTTGGGGAAAAGGGCTCTGAGGCAGAGGCGGATCTGGGGCTGCGAAATTGCTGCTGGAGCGCTGGAAGCCCCGCGCTCGGTGCCCCTTTAAGAGGGGGCCGGTTACGTCACTCTGT